GCATGCGTGCCTATATACATACATGCATACGCACATACATGCTGTGTATATATATATATACATCTGTGTGTATGTATGTATGTATGTATGTATGTATGTATGTATGTATGTATGTATGTATGTATACACAAATATTCATACATGCAGTTGTCTTAACATATCTAAATATGCCTGCATGCATGGATGGACGTATGTGCTTGTGTATGCATGCCTTCATGCGTGCATGCATGCATGCATGTGTGTATATAAGCATGCAAACATGGATATATATATATATATGTATGTATGCATGTATGTTGATAAGTAAGTCAGTAAGTAAGTGTATACTCACACACACACACATATATATATATATATATCCATGTATATGTATACTCACAGGTACATGTACATGTGTATGTATATTGCTGTAAGTCCATGTAGAGAAGGTCACGGTGGCCCCAGGGCGAATCGAGCCACTGCTGAGTCTGGAGGCACTGGCAAAGGGCATTCTGGCTCCCAGGGAGAAGTCCTAACAGTTCACTTTGGGTTCTTACTGCAGAAATGTTATAGGGAGGTCTGAATTATCGGTTAGTAGATTAGTAATACCATCCCTTTTCGGCCCTGTATAATGATCGTATGCTGTACCCGATTCCCCATTCCAGTTATTCTGCCAGCGCCCAGATTTTTCAGGCACAGCTCGAGTGCCTTGCCGGGCTGCTGGAGCACTATCCCTGCGATGAGCTCCTGGGAGCAATCAGCTCTGTTTTCTGTTGGGACCCCCTGAACCCTAAACCGTAAGCCCTTACCAACATACTACTGCGCGATCATGAAAGTCTGTCCCCAAGAGACTGACATGATCATTCCTGTTAGGACCTACTTCGACAAATCTACTCTACTTGAGGGAGTACCCCTATAAACTGCTTATCTGCCCCCCTATAGGCCCCTATCTACGCTTACAACAAGCCACAAAGGTATCTTTGGAAGCTCCTCCTCGCTGCCCTGGCGGATGAGGAGATTTTTTGGTTGGGTCGCGCCTATCTATTAGGATCCTGACCATGAGGTCCCGACCATTTGGGGCATATGAAGGTCCCTAAACCCTGAGGCCTAAGCCCCTAA